TATTTGCCAGAATGTCGCCCAGTGTCCTCACTGAAAGGGATCTATGAACTAGCTGCTGGTGATTCATAGTTTAAAGAACTCCTGTATATTCTTTACCCCGATTCTCCAACTGTTAATACTGTGTCCCATTATTTGCTTTATACATTATTAGATTTCTCTTTGAACCATTTGAGAAGAACATCCCACCCTTTTATCCATGAATACTTCCATGGGTATAGCCTAAGAATAAGACTTTCTCTTCCATAACCATAGTACATGTTTCTCTAACACAGAAAAAGCAACAGTGATACAGTACTATTATCTAGGCCCACAGTTCAAGTTTTGCCGATCATCATGCCTCTTTGGTCTTACTTAACCTGAAACAGTTCCTCGGCCTTTGACTTTCTTGGCCTTGACATTTTGAAGAGTGAGGTTGGTTATTTTGTAGTGTGTCCCTCCATGTGGGTTTGTCTGGTGCTTCCCTATGATTGGACTCAGAATTTACATTTTTGGCAGGAGCAACACAGAGGTGATGCTGTGTCCAAGCATCACACCCTGCAGAGTTCTGGACACCAGTGAGAAGGTACTGTGGGTGAGCATGCTTGTCTTAGGAGGCTGCTCAGGGTTGGAATAAGCCCATCAGGCCCCATGCGAGCCCTGGCATGAGGACCATTTGGAGAGAAGCCCTCTCTGCTGTCAGGGGAGGGAAGAAGGTGGGCCCAGGGCTGCTGCTGAGGACAGTGTAGTCTCATCTTCTGTTCCAAGCCCCAACTCTGTCTTGTCTGGCCTGGCCACGCCATGTCCACCATTGCCTGGACTTAGGAACTCCTTTGGACGCAGGGCAGTGGCCTCAACAGGACTTGGAGCCTAGATGATGAAATCGTGTTGGTGTTTGTTGTGCTTGTACACTCTCATCAGCAGACGTCTGTTTGGGCCTGCCCGACCAGCAGGGAAGGCCAGGGAGGACACAGTGTAAGCTGCTTGGGTGGGAGTCAGCTAGGACCTCTTGTGAGCTCTGCACCATGGTTAAGCCTTCCCCTGTGGCAAGTTACCCTGGGGGGCGGTGGGAGAGGGAGGAAGGGGACTTAGCTACTGAAGACTGAAAGCAAATGACCCCAAGGAAAGGGTACCTTAGAGAATTCTTCAGTTCCCTAAGTGCTATCCATAGAGCTGGGACATACCTCCTGAGATGCAGGACAGGACACCTGACCTTTAAGTTCTCCCATACCCACCCAGGCCACTGGAATGGGTTTAGAAAAAAAGACTAAGATGGTGAGGAGACACTCTGCAGAGTGGCATGTAAGAACCCAGGAGCAGGGCAGAGGGGATGAGGATGCTCTGTAATTCTCTGTAGAGTTGTCACAGAACACAGGGAAGAGATGGCCTTTCGGGGCTCCAGAAGGTGGAGATGGTAGGAATGGAGTTGGGTTTGTTTCTTCATCTGCCTGCCCATCCATCCGTTAGCGAGCCTTGCTCTGTGCTGGGCATAGAGGATCAACAGTGAAGAAGATGGCGGAGTCCCTGCACTCTCAGGGCACTGGGGCTGGGGGGTGTCAGACAAACCAACAGATGTAAAACAGGACTCAGTGCCACCATGGGGGTGACATGGGGGTAGGTGAGTATGGAACATGGAGGAGTACTTAACTGATATTTGAAGAGATCAGGGAAGGTGTTTCACAGTGTTGACTAAGGAGATTAGGGAAAAACCAGATGACTAGGTTCTCTTGGGCAGGTCTGGCCTGTTGGAGGGTGGTGAGCCCTGCCCCTCCAGCAGTGCAGCCTCCTGCAAAGCATCTCACTTCCCTGTTCTTCCCCAACCACAAAAGAGCTAGGGTGGGTGTTCTGTTCCTCCCATGTCTACCTCCAAATGACTTGGTGGGAGCTTGTGTGTGTCACAGCTGTTCTTTTTGCTGCTACCTGGGCCCCAGGGATCAGCCCTCCTCACCTCTCTCCTACCTGCAAGCTCTTGCCATCTGATAGTGAACTTTCACCTTCTGGTCTTAAGAAGCATCATTCAGAGCCTCTATTCCTCTTGTATAAAATGGGGACAGTGACCTCACCAAGTCAGTGTTTAACATACCGATGGAACTTTAGATGATTTTAGGTGGCACAGGGATGTATCAAAATACTCACGTTAGCTGGTTAGGCTAAACTGCAGTAACAAATGACCCTCAGATGTCAACCTCCAGGAAAGGTTTATTTGCTTGTGATACACATCTGCAAGCAGCTCCATCTGACCAGTAGGGTCTACTGGCAGAGGGAGAAGGAACAGGGCAAGTCGTGCTGGCCTTTGAAGCTTCTGTCCAGAAGTGATTAACCACTTATGCTCATTCGTTGTCCTACTCAGGTCACATGGCCACTCTTAATATCAATGGGATAGGGGTGTGTAATTATCCCTGGGAAAGGCAGCAAATATTTTTAAGTACTTACCACAACTGGTGAATATTTTCATTGTAATATTTTATTTTAATGTTGATTAGAGGCCGGGCTTGGCATGGTGGCTCACGCTTGTAATCGTAGCACTCTGGGAGGCCGAGGTGGGAGGATCACTGGAGCTCAAGGAGTTCTAGACCAGCCTAAGCAAAAGCGAGACCCCGTCTCTGCTAAATATAGAAAAATTACCTGGGCATGGTGGCATGTGCCTGTAGTCCCAGCTACTTGGGAGGCTGAGGCAGGAGGATCCCTTGAGCCCAGGAGTTTGAGGTTGCTGTGAGCTATGATGATTCC